TTTTGTCGGAATAATTTTTATGGCTGTAAATCTAGATCTTTATCAAACATTTCGAAAATAGATTCGCAAAACCTGAGAGGTATTCAAACTCTTGTTGACACACCGATCTGAGGAATTCTTTGCTGTTTAAAGCGTCTCGACGGAAGAACATCAACACACACATTTTTTTAGTAGCAATAAACCGGCAGTTCCATACACACAGCTTTTGACCGAATGCAGAGATGTATTGCACTGCCATTTAAACCTTTTCATTCAATAAAAATGATAAAGAGGACTCTTTCATGAAATATACTCAAATAAATTTAAACCTAACGTGGTCGCTTTCACCGCTTGACTTGACATCTGTTGTGCAGAGAAAGGAAAATGAGTCAGTGGGTTTTCGAATTTTAGTTGTGTAGAAAACTAAACAGGGAGGTTTAAATCAACCGAAGAAACGAATACAAACTCCAACCGGCCATAGACTGTCAAAAAAACGACAACAAAGCCGCACCTTTTGATGAGAAAAACTGCTTTGAAGTTCAGAAGTTCACGACGACGTGAAACTGGTCCATCTGAAGTCGTCGACGATAAGACGACGACGGAATTCTTGGTTCGCGCTTGCGCAGTGAAGTTCTCGCTACTTCCGGTCGTCGTCCTCCGTTCGTCGCCGTGGTTGCTTAAGCTCCCTAATATGAAGATTCAAGGACCGTCGCGTCTTTCTTTTCCTTTCTCATTCAGAAAATGGTTATTCAATTGAGCTTGAAATTGTATGTGCATTGTAACATAAGCCATGTTAATCTGTATATGGTAAATGCTAAAAAAGTCTATGATCAAGGAAATTTTCAGATTTTTGCCGCACAATTACATATTGTTTTATTCCATCGAATTTAGAAATTAAAGTTGGAAAAGATACCATTGATATTCTTATATGTATCCCACTGGCAATTGAACTGAAATACCTTTAATACCTCTAGTACTAAAGGAAAACCAAAGAAAAAACTATATTTATTTCAAATAACAACTGCAATTAAGCAGCGTTAGGGAAATTTCCTTAAGCAATCGTTTTAACCTCTCCAGTTTCTGAGTTGCACAACAATTCGCAGCCCTTCAATGTCTTTCTCTCTTCGCATACTATGCCCGCATCCAATAACAAAACATGCTCTTGCTCACATGTAACAACCTCAAAATGTATGCCTTAACTGCCATAACGGTTATTTAGTTTACACTAACAGCAGCGTTCTTAAAGGTTACCGAATTCTGATACGTCTGCTTCAAACTTCCAGCCACTAATGTAATTATTTCATAGCGGGAACTGCGCCAACAGATGAAATCTTTGGGGATTTCAATGTAAACAATGCAACAGATGAAATCTTTGGGATTTCAATGTAGTTTTCCTACAGAGACGTTCCCATTATTTGATGTATTAACAAGTCACCGTCATAAAAGCACCACAAGGATAATCCAGAACGAATTTGATGGAATTGTAGGTCATTGTAAGAGCGGGAGAAATCAGTTACGCTATCGTTTCACTCCTTGTTGGAGTTAGTTGTACTACGCCTTAGAGTCGACCCAACACCGAAAATGGATGCTTGGTCTGCGACGAATAATTGCAGTACTACGACGAATTTCAGCGGAACTCATCGCTGTGCCCAACTGTCCAACCTGTGCCTTTGGGGCCCATGGTAAATCCATATGACGAGTTCTTCAAGTTTGCCTTTGGATCAGCAATTTACATCATCATCGTTTCCTTTGTCACTGTCTTAGCCAACGGCTTGTTACTAGTAGTTTTCTTCTTCGATCCGTCGAAGATATTCCGCACTACCACTACATATTTTCTAATCGGTCTGGCCTTTGTGGATATCTTAACAACCGCCTCGCAAGAACCCAAGTACGCCACTTGCTTCAAAGTGACGTATCTGAGACATGCTGATTCCCTAGCAAGGTGTATACCTCTTTTAAATGTGGGCCAAACGATAGCTCTCGCAGCCATGACTGCATCCTTTCTGATAGTACTTGCTTTCACCTTTGCACAGTACATTGTGGTGGTCTCGCCGCTAAAATATGGCAGATGCGTTACAAAATCACGTGTGGTTATCTTTGTGTTGGCCATCTATGCATATTCCATATTTTCAGTCTCTTTGTCGTCATGGGCATCACCGAAGAGATCGTGCAAAAGATAGAAAACATTTTTCATCCCATCACTTTGAGTTACGTCACTATTATATTTTACGTTCTGCTGTACATCGCATTTAGGAAGAAGATGACCGCTTCTAAAAGTCTTCGAGAGGACAAGAACACACACGATAGAGGGATGGATGATAAACAAACAGGGGTGGGACGCAAGTTTACCATCGTAAATTTTCTCCAGATCGTCATCTTGTTCTTTACATCTCAACCTTTTGCCATGTTATGGATCTACCGTTTGTATTCCAACGAAAACCCTAACACTCCAAGAGTTCTGACTGTCAATCTCATGGTGGTCAATAACCCTCTTTACTTGAAATTCCTGCTCGACCCGTTTCTCTACGCATGGCGAATACCCAAATATCGACAGGCGCTCAAAGATGTGTTGCTCTGTGGCAGAGAGGAGCCAGAAACGATCTTTAGTGACCGCGTCATGGTCCAGGTTAGCAAGTCACGTGAGACAGTGGTGACGCTGGACTTTGAAAGCATTTAAGACTGAAAAATTTCCATCTAGTTTCGCAAGATTCTTGTGTAATCACGAGATCTCGGTAGCACTTCTATAGTCACGATCTCGCTGTTCTTTGAAATTCTCGGAGTGCAGAATTTGTTTTTTAAAAAAAATCTACGTATGATGCACGATCCTCGCAGTAGATAGCGCTATTTAAGCAATAGCGAAATTCAGACCTGAAAAAAATCAGGCCTGTACGGGACTCGAACCACTGACCTCTGCGGTACTAGTGCAGCGCTCTAACCAATTGAGCTAACAAGCCAACTGAGAGCAGGCCGTTAAGTTGATTCGTAATGAACCCGTGAAAGTGATAAATGAGATAGAATAAATATATGAAAATCATATATATGAAAAATATATGATTTTCATATATTTATTCTATCTCATAAAAAAAATCTGTTACATCGCAAAAAACGAACATGAAAGAGAGAACCGCAAACGTAGTGTAGAGTTCCCTGTCATAAATAGCATATTGCAATAACCTTGTAAAAGAAACGGTTGGAAGGAGGCGTTTTGTAAATAAAATTGTTCAGCATCTACCGGTTTCTTATATTTTATGCAAGGGCTTTGCGTCTCATGAATGCAGTGAGATTTCGCACAATTCCTTCGGGTGAATTTTTGGCAGTTTCAGGCCGGTTGCAGATCACCAAATGGAGTTATTTGTATTGCTTGCACTGCTGAATTATTTTACCCATATATCACCATTTATGCACATTGTTTGACTTGATTAACCTTGGCTCTAGAAATTTACAGCTGCTCTAAAAATTGAGTCAGTATGTCAACGCAGATAAACAGACAGTTTTTAATTTAATCATGCCAGGCTCTAGATAGCCGAAAGAAAGCGAAAAACCGACAAATTGAACCGCTTTGTCGGCACCTACTGAACGATATATTCCCTGACTTAATTTTCGACTCGCATAACCAAGCCTCTATTTAGTATACTTTCAAAGATAAAGTTGCTACCGAGAAATTGTCTTAGCACTGACGAACGGACTGAAAATACTTTTAATGACAGTGAAACATCACTAAGTTATTTCCTTGAATAATAGTCAGCAGTTATCCACTTGAATGATAGAGCATGAATCCTTCTGAAAACAATTTGCTCTTCGTATTTTTTTTTTTTTGTTCAGTTCTTAATGTTCAAATTCAGTTTCGCCTCCTAGATGTTTTTTTATTAAGTTTTTACTCCTACAGTGTATTGGTTAAGCTGTAGGTAGCAATATTTGCTACCTACAGCTTAACCAATAACCTACAGCTTATTTCCAGATGGAAACTGAAATTCCCTCCTATGCTGAGTAATATATTCGTCTTTCATCCCAACATGTGTGGATCTCCACTGGAATATTGAAACTTTTCCAAAAGCCACATATTTGGCGCAGTCACAAAATTAATTAAACAAACTTATCACATCGAATGATCAAGAACTTCAGCTTGATAACTATGTCTAACTTCTTGATAAATAGCGATTCGGCGTCAAATTTCTATGATAAAAAATTTTGGGTCATTAAATTTTAATAAGGCCCAGGGTGAGTAAAACGAATAGAAAAAGTGTTTTCATGCCGATACTGAATTAACCGACTACTGGGAACAACTATTCAGGAGAACAAATTAGAAGAAAGTTCAAAACAATGAAGTAACAGTGGTTATGAAAGGTTTTACGGTTGATTCAGTTTGAAGGTAAATTTTTCCCTTGTTTAATTAACAGTAGTATAATTACAAGAATTGCAATTCTCTCTTTCTGTAAAATCACAAACTAAAGAATCTGACCCTCGCCACTGCTTTTGTTCTGCACACTGAAGTTTCGTCATTTTTAACATGAACTTAACTTGTGGTAATTCATTGCTCGACATGAGCGTTGATTCTTTCAGAGAGCTACAAAGGAGCCGAAAACCCTACAAGTTTCCGCTTTGCTCTGAGGCAGCTGACCCTTATTCAACCTCGCAAGAAGGAAAGATGCATGTTGAGGATTTCTACAAGGCGGCTTTCGGTTCGTCCATCTTTATCATCATAGTTTCGCCCATAACAAACCTGGGCAATAATTTGCTTCTTGCAACTTTATTCATAGATCCACTCAAGATTTTCCGCAACCCAACCACCTACTTTCTCATCGGTTTGGCCATTGTAGATCTCCTGACAGCACTGGTACAAGAGCCAATCTATGCCACCTGTTTTATTCTGATGTACTTTCAGCATCCCTTGTGGAGGAAATGTCAACCTTGGATGAAATTTGCAGCTCATTTCTCAGCATTTCCAGTCTCATTATCAGCATCCATCGTTTTTGCCTTCACATTAACGCAGTTTAACATAGTTACATCGCCTTTGAAGTACGGCCGTATGATTACAAAAGAAGAAAGGCCATATACCTTTATCATACGCTCATCTGTTGTTTACCTCTGATGGGTGTTCCGCAGAAGACTACAGATGCCATCGATTTATTTTTTCATAGCTGCGCTGTTGTAGTCGTCACCATCGTGGTCTACATTATTCTTCATTACACCATGAAAAAGAAAATGGCTGCAGGACGCTGACTCAAAAACGAAAGCTCATCGGCTTCTCGCGAAGAAGGAAGACACATGAAGGTGCAGCGTAGTTTCGTCCCTTTGAGCGTTGTCCTTCTTATAATCATGATCGCGTTTTTCGTTCCTACGGTGATACTCTTGAAATTGAGCTTTTTCCTTGTTGACTTATTCACTGCACAGTATGGATTAAAGGTTCTCATAGCAAATTTGATGACCGACAACCTGCTTTACCTCAAATTCCTGTTAGATCCGATTGTTTACGCGTGGCGAATGTCCAAATAACAGGTACTTTTCTCTGAAAAGCACTGTTTATCGTAATAAAGATAAATAGTCCAGAAGAAATGAAAGCGAAACAAAAATCCCCGATGCCAGAAGTCTGGGAGGTGAGCTGGCAAGTGCGGAACTAAACAGGTCAGCGATAACTTTACTTAGCTTCAAAAATGTCAGCATAGATTGAGGATAGACCCTCTCTCTCATTTCAGGGCACATTAGGGACCTAACCGACGAATCAGCCGTATTCAGGGGATAGAATGGAACTCATCACAGCCTAGAAATTCACCTTGAGTCCAACTTAGTGCTCCCCCGACCGAAAATTTACAATATACTGGACTTCATAAGACTGTGAGGAATTAAGTGGAGCAACCTTCCTTAAGAGTATCATGCTTGTAATGCACCAGTAAGTGTGGTTTTAGTAATCAAGCAGTTTGAGACCGAGTTTATATTCATGACTTAGAGTTTAGGAAATGGTGAAAGGTATCCATTGAACAGCCTATGTACAACTTGACCATGAATACACTCCCAACCTGAATTTTATATAAATGCGACCATGATATGTTTAGATTGAGGTGCCAAAAGTTAACACAAATATCCTTAGACTTGCAATATATTTACATTTAGGGCCCTATTTAGATAACAAATGATGGGTTTGCACCAGTTTTTTGCGCCTTTACCCTTCAGAATGAAACCCCTGGTTTTTCTTTGACCACAGAAGCATTTTAGCACTGCTATGTTTGAATTGAAGTTTTACTGATTATGAACAATCACTTACTTGAGTGCAATAATTTATAATACGATGATTTAAAAATACAAAAACGAATCAATGTATGGAAAATGAAATGATTACATTCTAAATTTATATTTCTATTTGTCGTTGCTGTTCATAAAATGTTCAGTGGTACTTTGTAACTTTGTAATCCGCAGCACACGGCCTCATAGACAGCTTATCGAGTGTTAACAATAACAGCTCCATTCCAGCTCCAGGGATACGCTTAACAAAATATATGAGTTTATAGTTACATCATATCATATTCACAAATATCAGTATCAGCATGACCACGAATAAGGAGGTTAATAACGGAACATTCTAGAATACTAATCTACTCAAAATACATGTTTTAAAATTGTTAAGGAGTTGTGATATCAACAATAGCAATGCTTTCCGCAACTTTCCCACACAGTTAGGGCGTTTCCTGCTATTTAGCATCATATGACTGCCAAAATAGACAAAAATAAATATGTTTAACAGTTTTATTATTTTGAAAATATGTTTGTGTACGCTATTAAAAATGGAGTACGTTTCAGCAGGGCATAGGTTAAAAAAAAATTGTTGCTAGAGATCATAATCGCGAGATTATTTCCACGCCTCTAAAGGCACAGAAAATGAAATTGCCTTTTGGATATATGAAGGATGTTGAGCTTGACTCATCCCTGAAGGCTAATCATCTTTAGCTCATTTATGAAACATCAGCATGGGTGTGGGTCAAATCATTTAAAATAATTCATAGTCTGCTTTGTACCATGCGAAAGTTCCCTGAAATGAGTGGTGAGTAATCTAAAAACGTTCCTCTCTATCCACCTTTTCGTCTGCATGCTATGTTTGGTCACGGTATTCAGTAACTAAAACAAAGGAAATTCATGATTTACCAGACTTTTACAGTGGTGGCCCTCTACGAGTGGTCAACATCTGATGAAAATTGTTTAGATGATGTACCCTTCAGTTTGTTTGAAGACTTCCTTAGAATTAATTCGCACTCATCTAAATCTCTCCTGAATGATCAACTCTCTGTTAAGCATCCTTGAGTTTACACCATGTTGTAATTTTCCTAATAATAATTTCATGTTATTTCCCAGCTATTCTTGGTATGACTTATTGATTCCCGCAAGCAGGAATAAAACAATCACCTAGCCCCTCCATGAAAATTTCTCTCTCAAATATTCACTCTCCTTTGGAATATAAAAAGGAATGAAAATGAGTACCCCAGTTTGAAATTCAGCTAAAATAATGGTACACCAGCGGTGGTAAATTTTATTTAGAAATCATTCCAAATAAGAACAGCCAAAATTAATCAAGACAGCTACTGTAACAAAAGGCATGAGCTAATCCATTTACACTATTCCCCGTACAGCCAGTTTACGAAAAATATTTAGAGGGCATTCAGAATGATGAACACATTTGGTTGCTTATTC